TTTGATCATTTTTAGACTTTTAACTTTGTCCGGGACATAACTCAGAAACCATAAGAGGTATCAACAAGAAACTTTGTAGGTAGATAGATCTCATAACATAGAAGTGCAATGCAAAAGAACTGTAACTCGGCCTTGCCTATTTTTGGAGTTATTGCCCTTGTTCAATTAAAACTGAACTAATACTGGTCATGACTATAACTAAAGAGCTCTCTCTGTTTTGGAAGGACAGTACCTAGTGAAGGGGCAATTTTCACATTCACGTTTTTTTGTAAGGGGAATTTCTGGCAATTTTTGTTGTGCATACATAATAATAGTGACAGTACTGGTGATGATGATAAATATACATACACAGGGCCTTTTTCCCCTTCTTTGCTGTAGCCTGTATCAGGCTACTTCCCCAAGCCAAATTACTACCTTTTTTCCCCAAAAAACAGTTTAAATTTCCCCTTCTGGCAAATATTTCCCCTTTAACTGAAGAATAAAACTTGTAAAGAAACTTTCTTGTTTTAAAATAGATAATTGTTTTGTCCAATGAAAGCTAATAATTCAATAACCCAATAGAGGGATACCTTGATTTAATACAATTGATGTTAACTCAGAGCCTCAGTCTGAGTTTGCAACTTTCTAAAAACAGCATGGGAAATCCCTGCTGCCTTATTTTTTAGTGCACATGTGATTTGTTACGACAATATGGCGACCGATACGATGTCACTAATGTAAACAATGTCACAGAACAAGAAGAAAATACGATTGAGTGACATTTGTAATTGTTTATTAAAAATTGGATGAATTGATGACCTTGTGTCCGAGTAGCACAACATGCCCAACTGTCGGAAATAGCGAGCCTAGCACATCAGTGCCAGTAATGCAGTGTAAACTGATAATAATGTACCCTCTGAATCAAACCAAGAACCCTCACATGACCAACATAAAATACTATAAATAGGAAATATGAGGTAATATAAAGGGTCAATAAATTGATCTGTAAAAAATGTTTTTTACTCCTGTTGGACAGAAAGCTTAGTACTATAGTAAACCTTAAATGTGATTGGAGGAAGATATGCAAATAAATTATGATATTCCCCCGAAATGTGTGAAAATATGATATTTTCCCCAAAAGTGTGGAAATCGCGCATTTTTTCCCCACAAAAAGGGCTAGGGCGCCTTCCCCAAAACTAGTGAAAAGGCCCTGATACATGTCTTTCATTTTGCAAAAAATTTAGGATTATAATTGAAAAGGATAGGTTCTCCTGATTTGACAGGTTAATGCACCTAAAGTTAATATAAAAAAAACATTTTGGAGTTGTTTTTTGGGGTTTTTTTTAGGGGAAAATATACACTTTTTGGGAGAGGAATGGTTCCAGCATCAAAATTTTAGTGAATTAAGAGCCCTGAACTCTAGCATATGTCTGTTCATATCATATGAACAGTATTTCAATTACTGTATTGTATCCATTTGTAAATTTGATGAAAATGTTCAGGTTGAGAAAATTCAATCACACATGCTGTGCACTTACAAACTTTTTCTGAGTCTCACACCCTCCTGAAAATATTTCAGTAATTGTTGAAATACATTTGCATGTTCATATTTATAATTACTAATAAGTTATAAACTTTTATGGTAAAAAATACATTTGAGTACTGTACATGTAAAAGCCATCTAGCAAGTAAAAATTAGTTGATCTAATTATAGCTTTATTCTGATTAACATTAGAATATTTGCAGTTTATATGCTGCAGAGTCTGTTGGCAGGCAAGAGGTAGTTATGTGTGGAATAATGCCAACATTCTTGTTCAGGAGTATTTTCTCAATATTAATAGAAAGTTTACATTGGTTTTCTCACAAATACAATGAGTATGTTATGCATGAAAAAAAATGAAGTGTAAAAATAGCCTGATCTAAAAGATCTTAGCTTGAGTGACTTACTTGATATGTTAATAGAAGAAATTATCATGATATTAAAATTATCCAATATTTTCTGTATGAATTAGTTAATTTTATTTATTATTTTATGAAGTTGAATTGATTAATGACTCAAAAGTTACTATGTTACTATAAGTTAAGGCTACCGGTATATCAAAATTTATATTAAGACATTATAAGCATATAAATGAGCCGTGTCATCACAAAACCAACATAATGGGTTTGCGACCAGCATGGATCCAGACCAGTCTGCGCATCCGCGCAGTCTGATCAGGATCCATGCTGTTCACTTACAAACTCTATAACAAGTAGAGAAACTGATAGCGAACAGCATGGATCCAGATCAAACTGTGCGGCTGCGCATGCTGGTCTGGATCCATGCTGGTCGCAAACCCATTATGTTGGTTTTGTCATGACGCGGCTCAAATAAATCTTGTAATCTCCGACAGTGTTCAATATGATCTTGTTGGTAATTTTCACTCTGGATCACGGCAGTAAGCCACATTGAATCTACCAGAGCATAGTTCAGCCACTTGCAGGGTATCAAACAATTTACCAGTACTAGTTGCCTTCACTTTCGCAAGGAACTGATAACTTCTGTACATGCCAAAGCAGAGGTACAGTGCGAATGACTGTAAAAAAATGGCAATGAAAGTGACCTGCGCCTTCTGGGAATTAAACCTGGATCGCATGATTCAGTCTTAAACACTACTTGTTGAGCTAACCATACAGACAGTGCACAGTATTTATCATCTGTTCATTCATATTTATATGTCTACTATTTTGGGCGCTAGCTATTAGTCTAAGCAACTGTCATCGAGTAAGAATTTTTGAAGTGATGATAACTTTGGCTATGCTATTCTTTTAGGTCTCTTAATTAACTGTGTATGGTTAAAAGAATTAAAAAGTCTTAGTTAAAATTAAAATTACTTTATGAAAATTGTAAAGACATTTTATTTTGGATTCAAGCAAAACAAATTTCAAGCAAAACAAATTTCAGAAGTTTGTCTTTAAATACTAATACATCAATAGCATTACTTTTGTAATAACTTGACAAGAAATAAGCAGCTATTGATGTGTTGGCGTAGTTAAGTGAAATTGCCCATTAACTTTGAGGTCAAAGGTCAAGGTCAACATTTGATCATTAAAGCTAGACCTGGGGAGTCAACAACTGGAGAACACTGACTACAATCTTTACATTAGGTGTGGAGATTGGTCATGACTAGACGATGACCCCTATTGAGGTCATTATAAACCACAAAGGTCAAAGTCACAGTGGCCTATAAATATGATAATAATGAAAATCAAATGGCTTGTCTGACAAATAACTAGAGGATGATTAAGTCTAGAGTTCTTAATTTGGTGCGGAATTTGGTCATGAATCTTAGATGATATGATCACTTTGAAAAGGCAACATATTGGGGTTATTTTGTCGGCGGTGTTGGCGTTGTTGTTGGCGTCCCCTAAAGCTTGTCCGGAGCATAACTCAGTCACTATAAGTCTGATTGACTTCAAACTTGGTATGCATGCTTCTTTCAATAACCAGAAGTGCAGTGCACAAGGACCGGTACTCTGCCCTTCTTAATTTTTGAGTTTTTGCCCTATGTTAATTGTCATTCTTTAATTTTGTCCGGGCCGTTTCTCTTCAACTATAAAAGCTATGGACTTGAAACTTCATAGGATGATAGATCTCATTAAGAAGAAGTGCAGTGCACAAGAACCGACTCTGCATTTCTTATTTTTTTAATTATTGCCCTTTGTTGATTTTCATACTTTATTTTTATCTGGGCCATTTCTCATGATTTATAAAAGCTATGGACTTGAAACTTCAAAGGATGATCGATCTTATTAAGATTTTAGAAGAAGTGCAGTGCACAAGAACTGGCACTCTGTTTTTCTTATTTTTTGAGTTATTGCCCTTTGTTAATTTTCATACTTTATTTTTGTCCGGGCCATTTTTCCTAAACAATGAAAGCTATTTACTTGAAACTTCATAGAATGATAGATCTCATTAAGAAGAAGTGCAGTGCACAAGAACCGGTACTCTGCACTTCTTATTTTTTGAGTTATTGCCCTTTTTTAATTTTCATACTTTATTTTTGTCCGGGCCATTTCTCCTAAACTATAAAAGCTTTGGACATGAAACTTCATAGGATGATAGGTCTCATCGAGATGAAGTGCAGTGCACAAAAACCGGTACTCCATGGTTTTTGAGTTATTGCCCTTTGTTAATTTCATACTAATTTTGTCCAGGCCATTTCTCTTCAACTATAAAAGCTATGGACTTGATTATCTTCATTGGATGATAGATCTCATCAAGAAGAAGTGCAGTGCACAAGAACTGGTACTCTGCACTTCTTATTTGTTTAGTTATTGCCCTTAAGCAGTGTTTTTAAATAACCTACATTTAAGAAGAAAATGCTTAAGTGACAACTATACTGCTCACAAGGCGACACATCCGACTTCTAGTTAAGTCATTAATTTTAGGTTATAGATCAAGTTAAGATGGCAGTTTATTCAACCACTAAAACTGGGTTTAACAATTTGTCTGAAGAATAGAAATAAAGTAAATATTATTTTTGTATTCTTTTAAAAATTTTATCTGACCTTATTAATATTAAATCAGTTTAATATAATGATAATATGCAAGTAAATGTGAAAAAGTGAATGTTTATGTTGTACAGCAACAATGTAAGCAATGTCTGTCAGTATAGAGCTAAGATAATAGTCTAGAACTACATATGATCTACGTCTTAATATCTTATTCTTTGTTCTTATTGTATGAACTAGAATTCCCATCTCTTACACTGCGCTCCTATTGGTGTAAAAATAGAGTATTCTCTTCTACGTAATAACAGATTAATAAATCTGAATGGTATAAATAAGAAACAGCTTCAGGTATTTTGTTTTTGTTTGCTGCATCGCAATCCCAGGTGTATAGTTCAATTAATCTCATAGAGGTAAACTTGGCAACATTAGTTAACAGTGGACTAAATTTTCTCACAGTAGATTTAATCACACAAGATATACGTAAGTTAAAATGTAAATTAACAGTTTGTTTATTGTTATACTTATAGAATAAAGTGGAATTGAATTGAAAAAAAATGTGTGGGTGTCAACAGCAATGTAGCCATTCCATGTGACTTTTTGGAAACGGAAGCCCAATTTGTACCAGATTCAGGTATGTAATAATCAATTTATTAGCTTTAATCTGACCTATTTCGATGAGATAAAGAGTAATTTAATAAGCCATTAAAGGTATATCAAAATAAAGAAAACCCAAAACCCCTTAATGTTTATTCAGTGCAGTTATTTTTGTGCCCCTTCTTTAGGATGGGGGGGGGGGGATTTAGATTTGCCTTTTTCAGTGCATGTTTTCATGTTGTGTCACATGTAGCTCTAAAAGTGCTTCACCTAGAGTCAACAAGCTTTACTTTTACATAAATGATGATCATCATGTGAACTTGTGCGTCTGGGGTATGGCATGGGGATTGAGAGTTATTGCCCTTTACTTAGTAAAAATTGACAATTTTCAAAAAGTATTTGACCTAGAGTCAGTAAACTTTACATGAAATGTTGGTCAGCATGTGTTGTGCACCTGGGGGTTTGCTTGTGAATTTATTCAGTATTTGTAGAGTTATTGCTCTTGACTTTGTTAAAATTTGCTATTTCCAACTTGTGTCGCGCATGGCCCAAAAAGTATTTGAGCTAGGGTCATGAAACTTTACAGAAATGCTGGTAAGCACAGTCATGTAGTTGTTCAAATGGGGGGTTGGCTTGTGGATTTATTCAGCATTTGTAGAGTTATTGCCCTTGACGTAGTAAAAATTTGCAATTTTCAATTTGTGTGGTACATAACACAAAAAGTATTTGACATAGAGTCAATGAAACTTTACATGAAAGTTGGTTAGCATGTGTTGTTGTGCACCTGAGGGTTAGCTTGTGGAATTACTCAGTATTTGTAGAGTTATTATGCCCTCACTTCAAAGAAGAGGGGGTATGTTGCTTTGCATTTGTCTGTATGTCGGTCCGTGGTTCCGTAGACCAAATGGTTTCCGAGGGATAACTAAAGAACGCTTTGGCCTAGGAACTTCAAACTTGGTATGGTGATTGGTCATGACCAGTAGATGACCCATATAGATTTTGGGGTCAAGGGGTCAAAGGTCAAGGTCACATTGACCTTGTAGGTTAAAACGGTTTCCGATCAATAACTAAAAAATGCTTAGGCCTGGGAACTTCAAACTTTGTATGGTGATTGGTCATGACCAGTAGATGACCCCTATTGATTTCAAGGTCAAAGGTCAAGGTCATATTGACCTTATAGGTAAGAATAACTAAAGAACGCTTAGGCCTAGGAACTTCAAACTTTGTATGGTGATTGGTCATTACCAGTAGATGACCCCTATTGATTTCAAGGTCAAGGGGTCAAAGGTCAAGGTCACATTGACCTTGTAGGTAAAAAGGGTTTCCGATCATTAACTAAAGAACGCTTAGGCCTAGGAACTTCAAACTTGGTATGGTGATTGGTCATGACCAGTAGATGACCACTATTGATTTTTGGGTCAAGGGGTCAAAGGTCAAGGTCACATTGACCTTGTAGGTAAAAACGGTTTCCGATCAATAACTAAAGAACGCTTAGGCCTAGGAACTTCAAACTATGTATGGTGATTGGTCATGGCCAGTAGATGACCCCTATTGATTTCAAGGTCAAAGGTCAAGGTCACATTGACCTTGTAGGTTAAAACAGTTTCCGATGAATAACTCAAGAACGCGTAGGCCTAGGAACTTCAAACTTTGTATGGTGATTGGTCATGACCAGTAGATGACCCCTATTGATTTTTGGGTGAAAGGTCAAAGTCACATTGACCTTGAAGGTAAAAACGGTTTCCGATGAATAACTTAAGAACACTTAGGCCTAGGAACTTCAAACTTTATATGATGATTGGTCATGACCAGTAGATGACCCCTATTGATTTTGGGGTCAAGGGGTCAGTGTCAAATTGACCTTGTACTTTAAGATGGTTTCTGACCAATAACTCAACAAGTCAAGTTGCCTTGGTTGGTATTTTTATATTAAACAAAAAAATGCTTTTGGTATACACATTTGAAGGTCTTATGTAATATAACAACTGGGCTGTCATTAATGAGGCCTACATCATAATGAGATTCATAAAATTTATGCATATTTTATTTGGTAAGATTTGTAATAACTTAAATTGCTGCACACAACCTATGGGGTCACAATAATCATTACCTTGTGACTAGTCATGACCAGTAGATAACCCTTATTAATTTTTTGTTCACTTGGTCAGGAGTCATGCATAATAACCTGATCACATGACTAATCGGCTGCCTATAGGGGGCATACATGTTTTACAAACATATCTTGTTGCCCTTGACTTAGTAAAATTGTGTTGCACATAGCACAAAAATTATCAATCTCTACGCAGTGATCTCCCCTTAATTCTTTGGCGTAGATCTCTGCCACTACGATCCCATATATCAGAATTTTCGATACAGTAAACTTCACTTGTAGTGAGTACGGTTATATTCTTTTAAGGATATTTATAGCATGAGTTCTTGTCACCAAGGTAAAATGGTTATTCCTTTTATTCTATTACTTCTTTTCTTAAATAGTTTTGCTCGAGTAAAATAATTATGATCATTTATAATCGGATTCAACATAATCACACATGTTTGCAAGCATAATCCATTGAAAACTACAAAGTACGCTTGATTGAAATGAAAAGAAATCAATATCTTTCATTAGTAAAAGTCACCCTTAATATATAATAGAAGATCTTCAATATAAAAGGAAGGAAAATCGAAAATCTTGTTTACTCTTAATCATGGAAAGCAAATGAAAAGCATTGAGTTTAGAAACAAAGTATGATGTTTGATGAGAAATTGAGAAAGCCAGTCAAATTTAAACTGAAATAGCAAAGGATTTTCAAATTCCAAAAAGTACGCTGTCAGGTATTGTGTCTAAAAATAATAAATGACTATTTTTTTTCTTAATCAAATGCTCTTCAAAATGGCAAACAATTGTAAACAATCAGTTCGTTATATGTAAATCTGTTCGCTATACAAACTCCTGATACAAGGAACTAATTCGCTATATGCTTACAAGGAACTCCGGATAAAAGGAACATATTTTGAATGTCCCAATGAGTTTGTTATTAAGCGGAGTTTACTGTATACTTAATTTTTAAAAAAATTGTTTAATCTATTGCTTTTGTCTATCAGGTATTTTTTTCTCATTGATAGAATAAATAAATGAATAATATGAATAATAAGAAATTATTTTAAAAATTATCAAACTGTCATGATGTGACACCCTAAATAATGGCAATGGTGAGTGTACTTATAAAGGGAAGTAACAACTGTTAGGAGTTTGAAAAAATATTTGATATAGAGCTATTTCCCTTGTCTTAGTAAAATTTGCAATTTTCAACTTGTGTCTTTCAATTAACCAAAAAAGTATTTGACCTGGAGTCATTGAACTTAACAGAAACGCTTATCAGAATGTGAAGTTGTTCCTGGGGTTTGCTTGTGGATTTATTCAGTATTTGTAGAGTTATTGCCCCTGACTTAGTTAAAATTTGCAGTTTTCAACTTGTGTTGAGCGTAGCCAAAAAACTATTTAACTGGGAGTCATGTTTAGATTTATATTATTCTCTATTGAGTGTTGCAAAGTTTATCTAAATTCTTAACTTTAAAGTATTTCTTCTTATTTGATTTGAATTGATATTTCCATTACACCTAAATGAATTCAAAACTCAGTGATAAATACATTTGTAGATACCGGTATAAGGCTTTTGTTTGATTGATGATTTAAAGGTTCAATATTGCCACAGTTGCACTAAATTAACCAAGGTTGATAAACTTTGAAAATTTGAGTTTAACGCTTGAAAAGTTTGTATTATGGGTTATTGACCCTTGAGTTTAGGCCAATGTATAGTTGTAATGTGGAACTCATAGCAAATGTTTTTGTTGTGTTGTTGTTTTTTTTTGGGGGGGGGGGGGGTCTTCAAAAACAGAAGAAAATATATATCAAAGAGGGGAATGGGGCAGAATTTTGACATTTATTTCAGAATAAAGATTTTAATGTTTTTTAGTTTTTTAAAAATACAATTATGAACATGAACACATTAAAGTTTCACAAAAGAAAGGCACAAGCTAAATTTCACATAATACATAAATGTTAAATGTATATACATTATATAAATGAATGATTTCAGATAAAATGGATGAAGATGATGTTGCCAATCAGAGCTATGCTGCTCAACATATAAATGATCTTTTGCGATGTCCAATATGCCTTGACAAATACAGGACACCAAAGCTGTTGCCTTGCCAACATACTTTCTGTCAGTCTCCATGTCTGGAACAACTCATAGATAGGTAATCTTCTCAACTATGTTTGTATCCCAACTATATTTGAGCTGCGTCACGACAACACCAACATAATGGGTTTGCGACCAGCATGGATCCAGACCAGCCTGCGCATCCACGCAGTCTGATCAGGATCCATGCTGTTTGCTTACCAAGTCTATTACAAGTAGAGAAACTGATAGCGAACAGCATGGATCCTGATCAGACTGGTCTGGATCCATGCTGGTTGCAAACGCATTATGTTGGTTTTTTCGTGATGCTGCTCATTTGTACTTATCCCATTTTTATCTCACCTGAGTATTAGGTGGCCAGACTGGTGAGCTTTTTGTGATACCCATTGTTTGAAGTATGTCATTTGTTTTTATCGGCAATTTCTTTATATATCTCCTGAACCATTTTGCAGATTTTGACCAAACTTCACAGGAAAGATCCTTAGGTGGCCCATTACAAAAGTTATATATATATGTCCTGTCTGATCACAGGAGCTTAAAATAAGACTATAAAAATGAAATTTTAAAAAAATCATCTAAGAATTCTCTAAAAAGGTATTATAAATCATGTCCTTGCATGGGGGTATATTATATGATTAATCTAGACTTAACTGTAAGGTGAAGGTTAATCATGAATGCATCCACATAAAACTCATGAAGAGCTCAAACTTAGGGAAGATGAAGCTATCAGCAACCAGTGGTCATATTTTAGAGTAAGTCATGTTGAATAATATCGAAATAAAAATCAACACAATTTAAAAGGGGAGATAGTGGGATGAATGTGTGAGCCCTTCACTTTAACTATCGAAATACTTCTTTATTTCTTATCAAGAGCCATAAAAAAGTTTTGATGTCTCAAAGCTCTGATATTACAAATATACAAAACAAAGGTAACTAAATTTAGAATTTTTTGTTACAAGATATGCATGATGTTTTAAAATGAATGGAAAGAATTTACAGTTCATTTCTAAATTGTTTGTCTGAATCCTGACCAGGTCACTGAAAGAACAACAGGGCGTATATTCAGAATATTCCCAAAATCTGTATTTATATCATTAAGTGAACTAGTATTTGTATAAAGTTTTAAAAGTTATTGAAAAGAAAATTTATTTATTTTCAGATTTCACCATATAAAATGTCCCGAATGTCGAGTAGATCACAGGGTGCCATATGCTGGTGTATCCGCCTTCCCGACCAACAGAACATTACAAAACTTCCTAGACTTACCTGTTCAACGTGTGCCAGAGCTTCAGCAGGCATCAAACCAAACACAAGCATCGTCAAACTCTGGAGAAAGTCAAGCTGAAGAAAGAGGTCCCCCAGATCAAAATCAGCCGCAAATAAGTGGGCGTCGAGCTTCATCAAATGCTCAAGCTTCTTCATCTCCGCACAACGGTTGCTCGGAATGTTCGAACCAGTTAACATTGTCCCGTTGTGCTCACTGTAATGCTGTTTTATGTGATAATTGTAAAAGATCTCACGTAGAACAATTACGACTTGATATAAATAGATTAGTAAGTCAGTTACGTAGAGGTGTACCAAGATTTTCGGATGCTGTCAGTGTTATAGAAAGTAAATCAGAACAACTGCATCAGAGGGCTGAAGCAGGAAAAGCTGAAATAACAGAAACTATAGAACGTTATATTTCAGAGTTAAGAAATAGGCAAAGATTGTTGCACAGTGAAGTACAAATGTGGTTACTTGGTGAGATACGTTCATTGCGAATGTTACAAGAAAACGTGGAAGTTGAATTGGCGAGTACTGCAAGTTTTTGTGATTCGACTGAGTCTGTTCTTTCACGCCCTAATACAACAATTCCTGATGAAGATTTGGTAGATTTAAAACGTCAGTGTGTTGAGCATATGGAGATTATCAGAACTTATGAAGATGGAGGCGGAGTTAGATTGCCGAGGGAAAGGAAGGTAGGGTGTTGAAACCCTTTTCATGACATTTAATATCTTCTAACACTGGTATGTCAAAAGCAATGTTACTTTAATTATAGAAGGGCTGTAAATAGATAAATTGACTTATTTTCATAAATCATCGCCAAACTTGGTCATTTCATCATAAAACAGATGTTAGATAACAATTGACAATAACAGATTCTTGCATATGATTATCAGACAGGATTATCAACTGTTTTCAGTGGTGCTAGAAAATCCTGTCTTAAGCCCTCAGTGTGAGACAAGTCGCATGTTTTCAATGACTTCATCCCTGTGTGCTCTATGAATGAATTGGGTTCTCAGGATGACGTCATTCTGCTTGTATGAATATTAACTTATATGCAACTACATGTATATATGAAAAAAAAGCTAACGAAAATATTAGTTTTCATAATTTCCTTATATTTATTTGTTATATGCAAGAAAATGAATAAAACACCGACTGTTGTCTCAGAAGGAAATATCTAGCTCTTGCGTAACTGTTACATCGGTAACTCAGCAAAGCCTCCTTACCGCCATGAACTGTTACCCTTGAGCTAGATATTCCAGTCTGTACTGGCAGCCGGTGTAAGATTCTTATAATCTCACAAGCTATATCAAATTTTTGTATATGATTCAGGTAGAGGTAACATTTGAAGGTAACAGATTCTCTCAAGCTATATCAAATTTTGGTGAACTTTCAATCATTGAGCGAGATGAAGCTGGTAGTAGCAGTAATTCGAACATTGCCTCGGATCCTCCATCTCTCACCTCCGTGTCATCGTCCTCTAGGGAATCTTCTCCAGCCGTTAATGTTGGAATAGGTAGAGGACGAGAAAATTCGCCACGTGTGGTCACAATGGGAGGTATTACAACAAGGGACCTATCACCAGCAGGTCCAGATAGAGCCACTGCCGCAGGAAGAGGACAACCATCACTTGATTCTGCTCTTGTGGCAATAGGTTTGCAAATATTTAATATCATTTCTGAGTGGAGGGTCAGTCATGGGTTTTACTTATATGTAAAGATAATCTACTGTACTGAAACCCTAAGTACTAGAGTATAGATATTTTGCATGAAACACCATCAAATGGATCTTTACATTATAGACCTGGGGTCAAGATTGGCCTTTATCAAAGGAGTCCTCAGTTTTCCTTTTATTTATGTACCAAAACCTTCAAAAATCCACTTTGAGTGGTTTAAACCACTTGCGCCCTACTGCTGTGGGTTTCAAACTGGACAGGGACTTTGGAATCTGTCATGTTAGGAAGCTATTCAGCTGAGGTCTTCCTACATCAGTAAAGCTGGAAAGATGCTGAATGACCTATACTGTGTTGATGCGACATAAAACCCAACAAAAAAAGAAAGCTCATTTGTCCATTTTGAGAATTTTTTTAGCAGTGATGAACCTTTTGGTAGTGGTTAAGATGCACTGCATATATGTAAACAAAGAAAACAATGTAAAACACAGAATTTAACGTAGCATTGTATAATTGTTTGTTACAGGGCGCAGCTCGAGGGTTGGTAGAAATGATGAAAGATCTGCTGGCCTAATGGGTGGAGGTGGCTCTTCTGATGTCACAGAAAATGTAGGTCATACCACTAGACCAACTCAAAGAGAGCGTTTAGCTGGTTTAATGGGTGGTGGTGGAGGTGGAATTGAAGCTAGTCCTTCTCCACGTGCTCAAAGAAGAGACAGAACAGCTGGTCTAATTGGAGGACAGGGAACCAGTAATAACTCTGGTATAAGAAATATATATTATGTTGATAAAATGATGTAATGGTCTCATTTGAAATATATACTGTAAATCTGGTATTATTTGTAAAGTTTTACCTCCCATTTGTAAAATCTATGGTTTGTTTGTGCTATGTATACACTAAAAATCTGAAACATATATCTATTTCAATTCCGGTGTGAGTGGAAGTGACCAGTGCATATATTAAAATGTTAATTTTAGCAGATTAAATCATTTAATGACCGAGAGAACAATATATTATCTGATGCTGATGAAATTAAAGACCTCATTTGACTTTGGCATTTTCTTATTTATTTATCTATTTTTGTCTATTGCTATCAAACCATTGATTTAACTTTGATATTGTTTGGCAATAAATAATTATCTTATTTCAAAACTGCTAATATTAAGATTAATTAGGTCATTGAGTAAATCACATGTGCACTGTTTTGGGAAAGGAACCAACAGGAGCAATATGTAAGTTTTAGACATTTATTTCAGTGTCTTGGGTCTAAACTGATTATATACAATGCACTATAAAATTGCTACATTTTTTTCTCACATTTAGTATCAATAGTTTTAAAGACTAAGTAAGACAAGTCCATTAAAACAAACTTACATCATATTATTGCAAAAATTGTAAAAATCAGTCTACATACTTAGCTTTGGAAGCTCAGTCCAAGGTAGAAAAGGATAAAACCTTAAAAATGCTTTTCAATCATTTTAGTTACATTATAAGTTTGCACTCCCTTAAATTTTTAAGATAAAGTGACATGGTATGTTTCAGGGACTAACTTGACGGAAAATGCAAGACGTCAAATGCCACAGAATCTATCATGGGAGCTACCAGTAAATTTTGAATATCCTCCAAGAAGTAATATACGAGTTGGCAATGGCAGCCAAAGTAACACAAACACAAGAAGAAGCTTGCAGGAAAGGCGAAGGCACAATTTATCGGATTCGAGATTGTTAAACAATCTAGGAGCAGCTGCCAGGCAAGAAAATGACAATACTGCTCGGAGACGAAGAAACAGAAGTGGCGGCTCTTCCCAGAACACCATGCAGCAAGAAACCGGAGCAAGTTCAAGTGGTGATCGTCCTCCCCCGCCTACTAGAAGTCGTACATTTACTCGAGAAGAGTTTAGGCAAATAAGAGAAGAAGACACTGTGTCAAGGTCAAGCTCTGCAGATTCTACAAATAGAAATAGAGAATCATCTTTAAATAGTGATCAAAATGATGATACAGTTGAAAATACAACATTTCGACTTGCCACAGTTGATGGTGGTGAAAGTGTGAGAGTGAATGTTTCTCGGAATAATTATCAAGACAAGGGCAGGTCAATCATTCGATTTGGCTGTAGGGGAAGTAATGATAGTGAATTTGTATGGCCTAGAGGTGTTACAGTTTCCAGGTCAGATCATATATATGTTGCTGACAGTAGTAATCACAGAGTACAAGTGTTTGATAATATTGGCACCTATATAAAAAGTTTTGGTTCATATGGACAAGGAGAAGGGGAATTTGACTGCCTGGCAGGAATTACAATGAATACAATGGGTGAATTTTTGATAACAGATCGATATAACCATAGAATTCAGGTCTTTGATTCTAATGGAAATTTTAAAATTGCGTTTGGTGAAGAAGGCAATGGCGATGGTCAGATGAGCTATCCATGGGGCATTGCTTGTGACAGTATGGGATTTTATTTATATATGTGACAAAGAAAATCATAGAATTCAAGTCTTCCAGTCAAATGGGATTTTTGCAAGGAAGTTTGGAAGGCTTGGAAGACAGAATGGACAATTTGAAAATCCCCATTACCTCGCTGTCAGTTTGGACAATAAGATTTATGTAAGTGATAGTAGTAACCATAGAATACAAGTGTTCAGTATGTATGGAGATTATATCTTCCAATTTGGCTCCATTGGTACGATGCAAGGGCAGATGAAATATCCCAAGGGCATTGCGATTGATGAACAAGGCTTTGTTGTTGTGGCTGATAGTGGAAACAACCGTATACAAGTATTTCGGGGAGATGGAAGATTCTATTGTATGTTTGGAAGTTATGGAAGTGATAATGGCCAGTTTAAGGGATTGGAGGGTTTGGCTATCCTTGGAAATGGAAATGTTGTAGTTAGTGACAGAGAAAACCACAGAATTCAAATATTCTGAGTATTAGTTTTAAGAATTTTAATATGAATTACATAAAACTTGTATAATGACATCTATGTTTATCGACAAGAAAGAGCATCATGTTTTATTGATCTTTTTCTTCAGAAAAGATTTATTTATTCAATGCCAAAACCCTGGTAGCTAAGCCAATGAAAAAAGTATTTTGAAAGTTTTTGCAGATATTTAAATAATACAGAAGTTGATATCACTGGTTCATCTGGTACCTGTGTTTGCACAAGACAAATACAATTAGGCTCTTCCAGATTTTGCTATGCTTAATGCTTTCCATGTTTGACATATTCCATGATCTCCTAAATGCAAAGAAATCCAATATTTGTTTACATTTCATCAAAGTCATATCGCTTTTGTTAATTTGTTAAGTGTTATATTTCAGATAAACTACTGTGCCAAATGTTGTCTTACTTCATTCTTATATAAGTAATTATATCTTATTATACTATTGCTACAAATGGCTAAATTTGTTATTTTTATGCCCCCACCATAAAATGGCTGGGGCATATAGTGTTACCCTGTTCCGTCCTTCCGTCATCATCAGTTTCCATTCATTATCTTAGTAACAGTTGCACACATTCAACTCATATTTTACATATGGATATATCGTAGGAAAGAACAGGCCAAGTTCAAATTTGGTCATGGTCAGATAATTTTTGACATAGTTATGCCCCTTGATGAAATTTTTAGTTTCCGTTCATTATCTCCCAAATAGTATTACACATTCAACTCAAATTTTAAATATGGATACGTCAAAGGAATGCCCAGGTCATGTTCAAATTTGGTCTTTGTTCGATGATTTTTGGCAGAGTTATGCCCCTTTCACTTTGAAAATAATGTGAAATTTTCAGTTTCCGTTCATTATCTCCCCAACGTTATTACACATAAATCTCAAATTTAAGATATGGTTATGTCAAAGGAATGCGCAGGTCAAGTTTTAATTGGTCATGGTTCGATGATTTTTTTCAGAGTTATGCTCCTTTCACTTTGAAAATAATGTGAAATTTTCAGTTTCCGGTTATTATCTACCCAAAGGTATTACACATTCAACTCATACATGTATTTGACCTATGGATATGTCAAAGGAATGCGCAGGTCAAGTACGAATGTGGTCATGGTTTGATGAATTTTGGCAGAATTATGCCCTTTCACTTTGAAAATAATATGAAATTTTCAGTTTACGTTCATTATCTCCTTAACAGTTGTACATTTTTGACTCAAATTTAACATATGGATATGTCACAAGATTACACTTGTCAAGTTCGAATTTGGTCATTGTTTGATGATAGCTGACAGAGTTATCACTCTTGAACTTTGCAAAAAGTCAGAAATTTTTAGTTTCCATTCATTATCTCCCCATGGTTGTACACATTCAACTCAAATTTGACATATAGATACATCTTAGGAATAAGAAGACCAAGTTTGAATTTGGTCATGGTTCAATGATTTTGGACAAAGTTATCTCCCTTGAATGTTGGAAAAAATTTGAATTTTCAGTTTCAGCACTCATACTTTTGTGGAAATGTATGTATTCATTATTTTGGCTACAAATATGCAATATGCAATTTACAAAAGGTTAACACTGAATAGTGTCAGTGCCTTGAACTTTGTATAAAAAAATAAAAATGGTTTGTATTAACATTGAATAGTTTAAAGGGCATAATTTTGAACTTAAAATGAAAAAAAAAAACAGTTTTCAAAAAAAATTTGGAACTTAATATTATAACATCTGAAATGAGGGTGCATGCGGGGGCATCTGTGGTGTGACAACACAAATCTAGTTTAATCAATTGTCTTCATACCTAGTCACAAAATTTGACAAGACATCCATGAAAACTATACTAAACTGAACTTAACATTGACTCGATTTGATCTTGATCTTTCAAATCAAATTATTGAATTTGGCTTTAATTTTACTTGATTTTGGCTATAACTGGCATTTATTTATTATTAATGTATAGGTTGTCTTCATATGTGGACAAGACCTTCAAGAAGGTTGGATGAAACTAAACTTTGATCTTTATTTGACCTTGACATGCAAGGTTAATTATTAGATTTTACTAAATTTGGCTATTACTTTCCTTTTACGGATTTTATTTACACTTGTAACAATCATATACTTGACCTTTACATGACCTTGACTGTCAATGTCAAATTATTGACTTTGCTTATATTGTGATTAGTTTGTTATAATATGCTGGTATTTACCAATTTACAACACTTGTGGCACAAATGACTTTAAAAAGCCATAGTCAAGGTTAAATCATTGAATTTTTTTTAGTGACAACTATGTTATAATGCCCTTCTTGAAAGAAGTGGGGGTATATACCTTTGCATTTTGTCTCGTCAGTTGGTCCTTTCGGTACGTTCGTAGACCAAATAGTCCGGTTCAATAACTAAAGAACACTTAGGCCTAGGAACTTCAAACTTGGTATAGAGATTGTTTATGACCAGAAGATGACCCATATTGCTTTATGGGATCTTTAGGTCAAAGGTCAAGGTCATATTGACCTTGAATGTCAAAATGGTTTCCAATTAATAAGTTAACAACTCATGGGAATATGACCTTTAAACTTTATAGGTGCATTGATCTTGGCCTGTAGATGACCCCTATTGTTATTGGGGTCAGGGGTCAAAGGTTAAGGTCACATTGACCTAGTATGTCAAAACAATTTCCTATCAATAACTCAACAATCCATGGACCCTTGACTTTCAAATGCATTGCCTTTGGTCAGAAGATGACCTAAATAGATTTTTGGGGTCAAGGGGTCATAGGTCAAGATCACATTGACCTTATAGGTAAAAACGGTTTCTGATCAATATCTCAACAACTCATTGGCCCTTTACCTTCAAACTTTACAGGTGCATTGGTCTTGGCCAGTAGATAATACCTATTGATTTAAGTGTCAAAAGTCAGTCCCATTGACCATTTATATTAAAACGGTTTCCGACCGATAACTCAACAACTCAAGTTGCCTTGGTTGATATTTGTTACTAAACTAAAAATGCTTTTGGTACACACATTTCAAGGTCTGATGTAATATAACAAATTTGCTACATGATTTATAAAATTTATGTACATATTCATCTGTAAAATTTGTGATAACTTTGTCATTAATTTGCTGCACACAACCTTTACGGTCACAATGACCTAGTTACTTGCCATGACCAGGAGATAACCCCTATTGAGTTTTTGGTGACTAGGTCGAAAATCGGTCACAATAACCTGGCCACATCACTAATTGGCTGCCGATAGGGGACAAAATCTTTTACAAACATATCTTGTTTATTTAAGGATATGATATAGTACTTATCAAAAACTACTTATGTGACAACGTCACATGTTGTTTGTTGTGTTTGATTTTAAATCACACTAACAATGTAAATGTCATACGGCGACTCTCCAGTTTTACTGGTGGAAGAAGACCTCGGGGGTTCTTCCATTATTTGAAACGTCAGAGGGCACCAGAGTAGAACCACTGACATAGCTTAATCGCTTCCTTGCATGAATAGGAAACTACCCGCCTATATGACTGAAATACTGTTGGGAAAAGGCGTAAAATCAAACAAACAAATCCTCGCATGAAAGAACCCAGGGCCCCTGATTGGATTTGACCCACAACAGTAATAGACAAGATAATTGAAGTCGGCGGCCTTAACAACTTAGCCCAAATCAACTGACGTGTTGATTAATGAAAGTTTGACTTTGATCATTAACCCTTTACCTCATATATACGCGAAACAACGCACTTTCGACCCCCCCCCCCCCCCCCCCTTTTAGGCCTCAAATAGTGAAAAAAAATGTCCTGTTTGGGCCCCAAACACATGTTTTTGTTTGAGAAATGTTGATAAAAAAGTGATCACTTTTTCGGCGCCGCCCCCATCATCAAGGTTCATCAGGGGGTTGCCAGAAGGGGGATGTGCCCCCTTCTGTTTAGGGGGTTTGAAAGGGGGCGGCAGTCCCCCTCATCGCCAAGAAAATTTTGGACTTGTGAGAGGCTAAAAATGACCCCAGGTCGATCCTAAGGTAACGTGTCACCAACGCTGCAAAGCTTTTGACTATCTGAATCAATTGAGAAGTTGCAGCACTTTGAAATCAATTTTGGCAAAATAGTGATTTTTTGGCAATTTTGAGATTTCCCTTCGTTGCCATGGTAACAGGAAATTTAAAACTGAGCATGTTGTTACAATGGTATTCGTTCAAAAAATTCAGTTATGTACACAACAATCAGTGTGTAACAATCTCATATTTTCACATCTTATAAAATGTTATGGGATTTCATGTAATCCACATTAATAATCTTTGGATCCAAATTCATTTTCTTTTTTTTCTAAGTCCAGATTCTAAATGTCATCCGTATTGTACTTTCTCTAGCTTCCTTTTTATCTTCCTTGTCCAAAACATATGTAGCACATCCATATTGTACTCCAGCTGACATTGCTTTCACCGTCGGAGTTAAACTATCGTTTCTATTTAAAGATGTTTTTATATACACGTCGTACAACACTTATTTTACTTATAATGTAATATTTAAAAAAAACTTCTTGATTTTGTATGTTTGCTATATGACAATGACAATAGTACGATACTAATTCTATTGGACTTCTATAAACATAACACGAAATTTACATCTGTGTACTCCGCATTGTATAAAACATGTATATTCAAATGTTTTTAAACTATGCGCAACAGTTTAAATGTAGATCTAATATAAATCTTATGTATTGACATCACTGTATCCGTGCGATGCTGAGTGGTTAACGTCCTCGGCTTCAAACACATGCGCCCCACCGCCGTAAGGAATTTGGATTAAGCTGTATCCATCTAGCTCACGGAACGACAGTGGTTCTACTCAGGTGTCTGAAATAATCCACGAAGGGGTACAAGAGGTCTTCCTCCACAATTATACCATTTACAGTGTTGGTGCGACGTAAAATTCATCCAAAATGTGTCCAATACAATGCTCTATGGTAGAATCTACTTTTTTATTTTTAAGAACTTAATAGATTTAGAATTGTTTTTTTAAAAAAAGAGATAATTTTTAGCTCGACTATACCAAGTATATGAAGAGCTGTTCTACAACTCGACGCCCGCGTTCAGATTTCAGTGCAGTAAATATTTTTACTACAACTTATTTATGTTCACATCTTACACTTATGTGCCAAGGTTGATAACTCTAGAAGCAATATTTTCAGAAATTTAGAATATATCTGAAGATTTCTAAATCACATCTAATGTTTCTGTCCAGCATCATTTTCCTATATATTATTAGTTATAAAGATTTTTGAAAGATTATATGGCCCTATATAAACGGGTGTTTGGAAAATAATACCCAATTATACTTATATTTAAACATATTCTGGTTATATGTTGTGTAACATACTACCTTCTACCGTGTCAGCCGATAAACGAGGACATTTCATGACAAAAATAACTACATATATATGTATATTATTT